GACCCACATTCAAACAATTGAGACACATTTTTTGAGTCTTAGAAAACTCAAATCGCTGCATAACAGATATAGAACCGAAGGAAGGGCAAGAATAAATATTGTGATCCGCAGAACTACAATATGTGCACTCCGAAATCGGTTTTGAAGGCTTTGAAGGACCCTTTGTGCAAGAAAACGAAGCTTTACTATTTCTTGCAGGTTCTACTCGCGGTTTATTTGGAACCCGAGTTGTCTCTTTAGCCGCTAAATATTGGTAACGCCTGTTTAACTGCTTAGCGCAGTCATCCCAAGAATGCAACTTGTCATAATCGAGCTGTTCCTCAAAACGAGATTTGGTTACATGATCAACTTTGGCCATAACCATATGTATGATCATTGCGTTCGAAATGTCCTTTTTACTTCCCAACGAAGCTAAAGACGCATAAATGGCAGAAACAGTGTCAATGATGGACCGCAAACTAGACGCATTAGGTTTGGTCATACTTGGGATGCCGAACAATTGCGAGATAGTGTCGAAAAATATCAAACATTTGTTGTCGTACACAGACTTGAGGCTAGCAATGGCTTTCGAGTAGTTGCAGTCCGTTAACTGGAACGGATTCACAACTCCTAGAGCCTCACCTGACAAGCACGACACCAAATGATTAAACTTGACGTTGGTCAACGAAGGATCGTCATGAACTAGGCTTTCCCACTGAATGTAGGCAGCCGAATTTTGGGTAACTGTGATCGTTGACTGGCCATCATAGAACAGTCATGATAAGTCTGACTTTCAACTTTTTGTTTCGTTGCCTTAACATACAACGCCTTAGTTAAAATTCACAAGTCCTCAAGTGCCCCTCTACTATCGTTACTTGGATTGAGACTATCCAAATCTGCCTGAAGCGCCATAGCTTTCTTTATGTAACCTTCTAACAGCTCGAGACGACACTCGAGTTCTGTTTTTTCAAATGAAATTGTCTTTAACTGAAATGCCGTTTTCATACGAGCAATATCAGCGCTAACCTTCTCAAATTTCTGCAAGCATTGTACTAGTTTAGTGCTAGATTTAGCTATTACTTGTTGCTTCTCAGATTCCGACATGGAGTATAACCATACTTGAATTTTAATAATATCTAAGGAAATTTAATTAATGTGACTAGTGCATTAATTTATAAGAATCATTCTTGTAGCACTAGGAATAAATAAATAAATAAATAAATAAATAAAATAAAATAAACCCTAAACAAATTGCAACTCAAAGAAAATGAACACCGAACTTTCCTAACAGCCCTCGCAAATAACAACGCGCTAAAACAGCAAGAGACAAACTGAAATGCACGCAGATTACGTATTTGTTTTTTATGTTAAAAATCAGCTTAACAGCCCTTTTTTAATTATTGTTGTTTGTTTTGCCTCGAGGTTTTGTTAATAATTATGTTTATGAGGGTGTATAATGTGTTAAATTGTGCAAGGTATGATGTATGTACGTATATAATATGTGGTTATTGGCGAGTATGTATGTACATGCATATGTATGATTATGTATTTGTGCATGTAAAGTTGTTAAACAGAATAGTTTAAGTGCCAAAAATTGAGTCCTCATAAGCATACACGTACTATATATACATATGTATGTACGTATGTGAATAGGTTTTAAACACCTTTTGCTTGCATAAATTTGCAGCAATTAAACTTCTTAGAGCTTTATGCTCAATTGTTGGCACAGTAAGCCTGTAAACTCTCGAAAGAGTCCACCGAAACTTCTCTGGATTCCGAGCGACAATCACCCATTAGCCAAGCCAAAGGATAGTACCACAAGTAGGGCAGACAGCAGCTCCACAGTCCAAACGAGCAGTTGCAGTTGAAGGTATCCAGAACACCAAGGCACCAAGCTCCAAATCCAAATAAATGTAGCAGGATGGTATCCAATCGACACCAGCCCCAAACAAACGAGTAGTAATCACACGACCGCGCACAAAAACCAAGCCACAAAGCCCGCAAACAAACGAGAAAATAATCTTAAGAAAACCGAAGTCCCTGCTCGGGCGCCAATGAATAAATTTCATAAAAAGTTTATATTTATTTATTCGTTGTACCTAATGAATGATCTTTGAAAATATTAAGTTAAATCTAAATGTACGATCAAAAAAACCATTTGTTCTGTTTTTTTTTTTTTTAAGTCCTGCTTACTTTGGAACCCACCTTGTATGTATGTATATATATACAGTGACAATTCTCTTGACGGACACCTCCCCTATCTGCACGCCCCTCTTAGGCGGACACTTTTTCTAGAACATATGTTCGGTGAAGTAAGTATTTAGACGGACAAAAGTTAGCAGACGTTGAGCTTCTCCAGCTTAGTTTAGTGTGAGTTTGTCCAGCCTAGGATGTATGTAGTTGGTTTTATAAACAGTGTTAGGACCGGGTTTGCTATGCGCATCGGAGAAGGTTTTGGGGAAAATTTCAACTATTCTATCCAGTTTAGTTGCCCCCCTGTTTGTGGTCCGAGAACGAATGTTCATCTAACTCCTCCAATCATGATATTTATTAGCAAGCAAGTCAGACGCAAACAACATACAAGTATAACACCTCGAAGTGGTGCTTTGTTGCACAGATGTAGTGGTTTTCCGTATTACAAATTTATAATAACTGCTAATTATGTAGGATTACAGACTCTCACCTCCTCTAAGGATTGTGCCTACCTTACCTTTTTATGCGCACTCTAACAAGTGCTTAAACAATTGCGAGGGCGATTGCTTTGGTAGTTTGAGGAAAGATAGTACGAATCCATCCAGAGAACGGTAGTGCCCTCATTTTAACTTCATACTGTCAGTGTCAGCGGGCCTAAATTGAGAAAATATATTAGCGTGAATTTATTTCTTCGATAAAATAAAAGTATGCAGCTTACCGTTACCATATGTCCACATCCCCCACTGTCAGGCGAAGCATTAAGACAGTGGTGGCTGCCTTGCTGTGGTGCAGGTAAGTGTGGATTGCCTTCCAACAGCGTATGCCTACGTTAAAATTGAAATTGCTCCTGCTTCGACAACAAGAGGATTTTTGGATTTTAACTAGATCCTGACGTCTGCTTTGCAGTGATCGGTGCAGTAGCATGATATCTGACGATGCGATCCACTGTACATCTCTTGTTATATCTGGCTTTTTCTGGGTTTGGTCTGATTAAGATACCCACCCTGTTCACCGCCACAGCTTTCCCTTTCGGCACAACCCTAGCTAGTCCGTCAGTAGCTTTGTGCTAGCTCTTGTACCTTCTGAGATCCTTGCGCTCATACAGACGGACGGACAGACGGACGGACGTACAGACGGGCATGGCTATATCGATTCGGCTTGTCACCCTGATCAAGAATATATATACTTTGTGGGGTCTGCCACGCCTCCTTCTGTGTGTTACATAGATGCACACAAAACTAGTATAGCCTTTCACCCTTTGGGTACAGGCTATAAAAAGCTATACCACAAACAAGTAAAAAAACTAAAGTCGGGTGTCCCGGCTTTGAAATACTCTGTACATATGATTACAATAATTATAGAAAATAAAAAAAAAATAAATTTAAAAAAAATTGGATCGATTTTACCTCTCTCGGTATTCGAACTCACGTAAAGGGTGTATAATTGCACATTTACATAGCAATTGCGTCTGTGTGAGTGTATGTATGCCTATGCGCATCAATTCGTGTCTGTGTAAGCAACATCAACAACAGCCGCGGGCAGCGCTTGAGCAGCGCTGCAGCAGCAAATATATTTATGGCTATAACTACTTGGTAAATCGGTCTATCATAGTGAAACTTGGCATACGGACACATAATTACTAACTGGGGGTATTTGCAAAATTTTATTTCGAAATTCCAAGAAATACGGGAGTTACGATTTGCGGGGGAGAGGGGGGAGGGAGGGAAATTCCAAAATATACATTTTCTGCGTATTCACACAAGGCACCTTGGACTAAAATTTGGTGTTCCTAGGTCTTATGGTCTCCGAGATATAGGCGATTATACGAATGGAAAATCGGGAAAACCCCCATAGGGGGGAAGTGGGGGGGAAAATCCAAAAAATAAAACAAACTCGTATAGAATACACACATAACGCATCTTTGTGGAAAATTTGGTGTCTCTATCTCTTATAGTCTCTGAGATCCAGGTGTTTATACGGACGGACAGACGGACAGACAGGGCTAGATCGACTCGTCTCGTCATGCTGATCAAGAATATATATACTTTGTGGGGTCTGCCACGCCTCCTTCTGCCTGTTACATTTTTCAGCTCCCGCAAACCTAATATACTCTTGTACATTTCATGTGCAGAGTGTAAAAATTGTAACAAAAAAACTCAGCGAAAGGAATCGCTGCGTGGCTATAGTAACGTGGACCATATTTAAGCAATAGATGAAATAGTCAATTGCATAATAATAATTAACAACTTCAGTAGCAGCGTTTGTCAAAGTAATATCAATCAATAACTGAAGGGCACATACGTAGTGCATTTTTGGAAGACACCATTAAAATAAATGACAGAGAATTCATAAAGAAGCAACAATTATGAGACCTGGAATACCACTTATAGATGCAAAGCGCTTATAGATAGAAGCCTTACAAATACTAGAGACACCACGTCGCCATCATTAGATAACTTTGTGCTATATTTAAAATCTATTTTCGGCAAAAAGAAAAACCAACCCTAAATATTCAGGAAACAATACTACAAGTATTCAATAATAAAATCAAATCCATCAACTCGACATCCAAAACTTTACAATGCCTACTACTACTACCTATGAATCTGCGGAAGAAGTTTTAGATAAGTACTAAAACATGTTATTCAACCTGAACTCAATAGATTTTAATAAAACAAATATCCGCCCCAAATCCGAAATTTAATGCTTACAAGAACCCTTACACCAAAATGCCAATTTTGCAGATTTTTCAAGCTCTGCCAGAACTATGCCGACCATGCCATGCTAAGATTAGTCCCATTTTTAACTTTGAATAACTAGCAACTGTATCAATAGAATTTGAAATTTATTTACATGCTCCAACTGTCCGCATTCATATGAATATGTAGTGGGTACACACATATGCACATTAATATACATACATATATTTTATTAGGAAAAATAAAACCGTTCGATTATGGTCTACAAAAAATGTTAAACCACAATATTAGTATTGCCTCTACTTTTGTTCTAGAGCACGAATCATCTGGGCGTCGCGTTTCTGATGGTGTTCACGAATGGCACGCTGCAACTCATCATGATGACTTTTGCTCTCCGGAGGATAGAGCTCGCGTTTTTTTTGGGTTACCCATTCTTCGAAGTAGGCTGGTTGGTTAAAGATGTGGAAGAGAGCCACCGGAAAAGCCACATACATCCCCATTTTTGCTACTTCCAACACCCAACTGCCCATAATTTTATGCTTTTGGATAGTTTATTTCTTTACAAATATTTTTTTGCTGTCAACAAAATCAGCTGAATATATAAGTGTTTGATAACGACAATTAAATTGCAGTGTTTGATAACTACATGACAATAAAGTCGAAAAGTTCGATAACCATATGTTTAACAGTTGTAGACTATTCGATAAATATAATTCATATACATGCGGCTTGCAACGGTATATCATGTAAATGAAGAAACGTAGATGCATGCGTAAAAAAGGTAATTTGGGTAGCACATGTTACGATTACGCTATTCCGTTGGGCAACGCCGGCTGGCTCATCGGAACTTCTCCTTGGGTGTATGGTTCCAACCCTATGCCCGCGTGAGTCGCACAATAACTGATAACACGGTTCCTCCATCGATTTTAATCAAAATGCCATCACTACAATAAATTCGGCGCGCAATATACAAAACCGAATTCAAACGTAAACAAACCAAAAATAACTAACATAAAATAAAAGAAACGTAATGCAACGGAAAAAAGCAAATAATCGGATAACTCCCTCCAGCTATCACGTATCCGGACAACGTGAAAAGGAATCACATACAGGCGGGCGGACAGGAATTGTGGTACCTGTATCCAAAGGTAACATTTGTTATGGATACCCTATCATTGGGCCGTGCTGGAGCTATTCCATGGCGAAGGTGAGTCTCCCGCCCCTATTTATGATGTTTTACTGCATCATAATGGACTGTGCGACCATAAAAATTAATATTCAATTCGTGTTATATACATACATATGTTTTAATGTGTCTGAGTGCAAAACTAATAAATAGGTGTTTATACATGAGTTTAACAGGCGTGAAACAAAATATAAATTAATACAAAAAAATGAAAATAAATCAACAGCCAATGCGGTTAGTTTGTGCGTAAATAAATAAAGAGTAAAAATGTAAATATATGTACGTATATATACATACATATGTATATAGTAAGTGTAAATATGGGCGAGTAGTCGGGGAATAAATAAGATAAAGTACCCCAAAAACCTTAAGGAGAGTTCTCGACGGTCATGGGCGCAATATACCTATATATGACCCAATACTGCGTATACATATGTATTTATTTAAGGTCCAAAAAAAACGAAACGTGCTACTGCAATTGGCAAACTTCGTACAACTTTCTAGACTGAAACATCTAAGCTTTCTTTATAAATGTAAGTATAAATTTTTTTATTAAATAGAGTGCCAAGCTCTGTTTAGGTGCCGCTTTCTGCCTCGTTTTCGGTTTGGTTATATATATATATTTTTATACTCTGTACATGAAATGTACAGAAGTATATTAGGTTTGCGGGAGCTGAAAAATGTAACAGGCAGAAGGAGGCGTGGCAGACCCCACAAAGTATATATATTCTTGATCAGCATGCCTTATGTGTGTATTCTATACGAGTTTGTTTTATATTTTTGATTTTCCCCCCACTTCCTCCCTATGGGGGTTTTCCCGATTTTCAATTCGTATAATCGCCTATATCTCGGAGACTATAAGACCTAGAAACACCAAATTTAAGTCCAAGATGCCTTGAGTGAATACGCAAAAAATGTATATTTTGGAATTTCCTCTCCCCCGCAAATGCGATTTTCTCTAACTCCCGTATTTCTTGGAATTTCGAACTAAAATTATGCAAATGCGCCCAGTTAGTTATTATGTGTCCGTATTCACTATGATAGACCGATTTAACAAGAAGTTATAGCCATAAATATATTTGCTGCTGCAGCGATGCCCGCGGCTGTTCATGCTGGTGCTTTGGTTGACTGCACACATGTTTACTATACACAGACACGAATAGATGCGAATAGGCATACATACACTCACACAGACGCAATTGCTATGTAAATGTGCAATTATACACCCTTTACGTGAGTTCGAATACCGAGAATGGTCAAATCGATCCAATTTTTATAGCCTGTACCCAAAGGGTGGAAGGCTATACTAGTTTTGTGCGCATGTATGTAACACACAGAAGGAGGCGTGGCAGACCCAAAGTATATATATTCTTGATCAGGATGAGAAGCCGAGTGGATATAGCCTTGTCCGTCCGTCCGTCTGACCGTCTGTCCGTATGAACGCAAGGATCTCAGAAAGTATAAGAGCTAGAATAACCAAACTTGGTTTGCATATTCTCCTAAGACCGAGAAAGTACGAGTTTGAGTTTTTTTTCGATGCACCCCCCCACTCCCCCGCAATTCGTGTTTTTTCTTATAACTTCCGTAATTCTCGGAATTTTGAAATCAATTTTGGTAGGTAGGTGATAGGTCAATTCTGAAGAAAGTTATAGCCATAAGTAAAATCGCTGCTCATGCGCTGCCTGCAGCTCTGTCGGCAGCTCTGTCGGCAGCTCTGTCGGCAGCGCTGCCCGCAGCTGTTGTTGTTGTTGCTGCTTTGGTTCAACTTTGTGCTGCATACACGCATATAAAGACGCATAGGTACGTGATGTAAATGTATGCTGTTAAAACTGAACATAAACATGTATTCTAATTTAATTTAATTAATTCATTCATTTTTTGTAATAATTTAATTTTTTTTTTTAATTTTTCTTTTTTGTGGAGAGTACAGGCTATTTTACTGTCGGGCTTGCTCGACTGTAGCGTTCTATCTTGTTTTTTTTTTCTTAATATTTTTTATTTTTTATAATTATTGTAAACACATGTACAGAATATTTCAAAGTAGGGACATCCGACTTTAGCTTTTTTACTTGTTTTTATTGTATTATTTTCTTTTTTCTTTTGCAGAAACTTAAATGGGCCGCCCATGGGACCCTGCAGGTACAGCTCACATCAAACAACACTGGGACGACAGGCGCGTGGGGTCTCTGCCTTGTTGCTTGCAGTTCAGACGCAAACAACAGGCACGGCGCGTGGCCAAGGAACGGACTCACCGGCTGATTCTTCCTCCGCTGCGGATGGCGCAGACTGACGTGGTTGCTGTTGCTCCTGCTACGATGCAGCTATTGATGGCGCTGCTGTTGCGCTGCGGATGGCGGTGTCGCTGCCGTAGTTGGATTTGCTGCTACTGTTGGCTGTTGCTGTTGCTCCTGTTACGAAGCAGCATGTACTGCTGTTTACGAGGGCCGCTGCAGCTGCTGCGCACAGTTCCACCGTTGTCCACGAAACTTGGCGATATGCCGAAAAAATCTTCGACTGCTTGTAACACGCTTTTTTTTTTGTAATTCCAGGTCTCAGCCTACTAACCGAAGAAAAAGGTCGCCGGCCCTTGTATCCAAAAGGACGCCCCAAAAAACAGGAGTGGCGTGTTGCGGCTTGCCTTTTATACGCCGGATTTCGTACCTCTGCAGATTTCTACGTCCTTGCGCATCCGTTTCCCCACTTCGGGGTGCCATCGGGACACAACCCTGCGCCTGCGCGACTGCAGTTGCCTCGCTTGGTACCGCTAGATAGCGCTGCAGTGCCAGTTTCAAATTTCGGCGCCTCCCGAAGCGCTGCCACTTTGCTTTTTTTGTGACCAGCCCGATGCAACACACACATGATGTAAGCTTGATCAACGATTAGCCGCCGAAATTTTCTAACTTGCCCTGTGTATTTTGTATCGAAAACAGAGTGCAGAGCAGAGAACTGCACTGTATAAAGGAAGTTTATTATTAAATGCTACACTAAAGAAGACAAGTTAATTAAAAGTTTGGAATAAGTATGTAACATTAATGAATATTTTAATATATATAAATTGTTGTGTTTAAAATCATCTCTGTTTATTTTACCCTAATAGAAGAGCTTATTATACTCTGTACATGAACAGAGTACATATGAACAGAGTTATAAGAACTACACACCAAATTTAGCACGAGATGCCTTATGTGTGTATTTCAAAGTCGGGACACCCGACTTTAGCTTTTTTACTTGTTTTATTATTCTTTAGAATTACATATATATATATATATTAGAATTGTTTGATTAGTTTTATACTTAATCTATTTTGCCTACTCAACTAAGTGTGTTTAATATTATAATTTTTGGTAACGTTAATTTAGATAATGTTTTGCAAGTGTGCTTGAATCTTAACTCTAAAGTGCGTTTCGCTGCTGATTGTTTTCAGGTTATGCGGTAGCTCATTCCACAGACGAACAGTGGAAATAAAGAAACGCTTTTCCGAGCTTACTAATTTAAATCTTGTGCAAACTATTGTTGTTCGTTCAGATTGTATATTTTGTTGGCGTACGTCGTTATTGAATCTCTTCTTTGAATGTGCTATGTTATTAAAGGCTACTTTTATTTTGTTTTGGATTTCAGCATCGCAGTTTCCGAAAATTTCTATGCCATAAAATAGCAAGGGTGTCAGGCATGTCTTGGCAAAAAGGAGCTTTAGTGTTACAGGAAGAAAATTCTCCGTCAGGCGCCTTAGTGCGCTATATAATTTGCCAACTGCTTTATTGACATGGTCGCACGAAGATAATGATTGATTGATAGTTATTCCCAGGTTTATTGCCTGTTTTACCTACTGAGTATGTTAATTTGTATACCGTAGGGTAAAAAGGGTATATTAGGTTTGTGCAAAGTATGTAACATAAAGAAGGAAGCATCTCCGACCCCATAAAGTATATACATTCTGAATCAGCATGACGAAAGAAAACGATCTAGACATGTCCGTTCGTCTGTCCGTCTGGATGAACGCAAAGATCTCAGAAACTATAAAAGCTAGAATAACCAAAGTTGGCATCCAGATTCTCCTAGGTCCGAGAAAGGACGGGTTTTTTTTTTTTTTTTTTTGAATTTTCCTCCTTCCCCCGCGTCCACATTTCAAATGCTACCTAAACCAAACTTTGCACACATAATTTATACATATTTATCTACTGTTGTTTAAAATTTTATATAATTCGGTCAATTCTAAGAAAAGTTATTAGCGAAACAAATTCTGGCGAGTACAACCCCCCCAAACTGCAGCAACAAGTTCGCTCTTCTTCTTCCTCTTTTTGCTGCTGCTGGGCGCATATAACTCAGTGACGGAAGTTTACCTGGGTACAGAGTATTCACTGTCGGGCTTGCTCGACTGTAGCGTTCTCTCTTGTTTTTTTTAATTACTATGCA